TTCTTATTTATGAACGATTTTGCTGCCCTTTTCAATATCTGCAATCCGATCGTGTATGGAAAAGAGCAGGCACTTCCCCGGTCGCGTAAATACATTGTTTACCATGGTACAGAGTACAGACAGCTTAGTCTCTGTACCGCAGTATACAATGTTCCTGTAATTACGCACAAATCTCATCTACATTGTTTACTGTGCTGCAGACGATGACACTATCTGTATCGTATAGTAAATATAATGTACCTAATCAAAATGTCGGCGATTTCATATCCGCTTCTTACTACAGCCATTGAATAATAACACTATTTTTATTCAATGCTACAGCATAACATATAAAATTGCTATTATAGGTACCTAGAAATACTTTATAACTGCGGTAGGCACATTGCAAAATTATATGATAAATCTAAATCGTGTCCTATATTTTTGAGGGTAAGGAATTCGATTATTATACTGTTTTTTATGATAGAGAATTGGGATGAGTGTTTTTTTCAGTAAAACTGGTTGCTAAAGTGTGGATGCCATTGGCAGTGACTTTTTTAGTACCTTCCTCCTTTTATGTTATATCACTGACACGCAGTTAAAACTTTTCTAAATCTACTACAGTAGTACATACCTATCCATTGCAAAAACAAGCACTTCTTCTTGGCAGAAGGGTATACAGGGTGGTGACTTGGCTAGCGCATCATAGGGATTTCAATGTAAAATTCATAACATGCAATTATTGGCTCCCCAAATTATTTTAGAGCAAAAATGTATTAAGGTTTTTTGTACAAAACAATTTTTTACGTCAATCAACCGTATTAGTTTTCAATTTTTTGCATAATAAAGACGGAAAATTGGAAAAATAAAACCCCTACCTTTTTCAATAATCTGTGATGCCATGGAATTTTATAATACAAAAACTACGCCAATATCCGTCATGTGGAATGTTTGCTATAAAACAAATCAAATTCTATCAAAAAGTATTATATTTAAAACAGCGAATTCAACATAAAGAAAGGCCAAATTACTAAAAACGGTTTTCTAATATAACAATTTACAATAAACGTTCGAATAAGTCACCATTAACTGCAAGACAGTAACCAAGTCGATCATAAAATACATTTCGAACTGCTACTATAATTGATAACTGGATATCTTTTTGTTTTAGAAAATTCCATGGCATCGCAGATTATTGAAAAAGATGCGGGTTTTATTTTCCCAATTTTCCGTCTTTATATGAAAAAAATTGAAAACTAATACCTACGGCGGTTTGGCGTAAAAAATTTTTTTCTACAAAAAACTAATACATTTTTGCTCTAAAATAATTTGGGGAGCCAATAATCGCCTGTTATGAATTATACATTAAAATCCCTATGATGCGTTACGCAAGTCACCACCCTGTATATGTATCTTACAATCCAGTTAGAAGCAGAAGCAGTAGACGTACTAAATTTCTCCATCCATTCATCACACCACTGACTATTCGCCTGCAGCAGAGTAAACAATGTACTTAGATGAGATTTGTGTATACCATGGATTTGTGCGTAATTTCAGGAACATTGTATACTGCGGTACAGAGACCAAGTCGTCTGTACCGTGGTAAATAATGTAGGTATTTACGCGCCCCGGTCAGGACCTCCACAAGAGAGGGTTCCCACAATAGAGATAAAAAATATCCAAATTTGGACGGGCCAGCAATTTTAGCGTTTTTTTTCCGACAATAGGTACGTACTTGCACAAACATAATAATATTGTTCTTTTTCTTGAACATTAAAAGAATACAGGTAGTAGGTATCCATATTTGTTGACTTCAATCCGTAAAACATCGATTCATTAGAAAGCTCTGATTGCAAGTTTCCATTTATAGTAGGGGAGCTAGCACGAAATCCACTGAACGAGAATGATCAAAATTTTAACCGATGGAGTTCCATTTTGCCCTATCAGAGTATGCTAAAATCGATCGTCTGCCGCCTCAGGTCATATGACTTAAGGCGCTGCGGGTACTTCTTGCGGTACCAATTCTGAAAGGTTGTTTTTCGAAAAAATAAGTTATACACCAAATGAAAACGTTGATAATAGCTCTTAAAAAAATATTGAAAAAAATCGCGCGCATTTGATAACTCCGTAAAAAAACAATTCTTAGTCGGTTTTTCACGAACTTTCTACGGATATAACTAGGTTACCGTTGGAAGAATGAAGCTGATTTTTTTTACAGACTAATGATGGGTACAGCCAATGACATATGAGAGTGTTTCTATTTTAAATTTTTTCTCTAATTATAAGATATCTTATAATGTTAAGATAATAAGATAATCTTGTAATTAGAGAAAAAATTTAAAAACGAAACACCGTTATGTCATTAGTAGTACCTATCATCAATCTGTAAAAAAAATCAGCTTCATTCATGACCTGAGGCGGCAGACGATCGATTTTAGCATACTCTGATAGGGCAAAATGGAACACCATCGGTTAAAATTTTGATCATTCTCGTTCAGTGGATTTCGTGTTAGCTCCCCTACTATTACTATCAATTTTTAATTTGATCCAGCATCTCGGTGGACGTTGACAATACTCGAAAGTTCAATGTTTGATAACACGATTTGCGTATTCGTCATCATTTTTTTAACCTTGAAATAGTACCTATACCTAGCTTTAAAATAATAACGTGTGAACAATCGATATTAGTCGGATTATTTGATTCCTAGACCAATTAAATAATTATCGGCTAGACAGTGTTTTTTTTCTACCTTCTTATTTAGTCATATTTCATGAATTACGAAATAGTTATTTACATTATTAGTGCGGGAACAGTTATTTTGCAGATGAGCGCGAAGTTTGACGGCGCGAGTGCGCAACGCGCACGAGCGACGCATGTCGCGCGAATCAAGCAAACACTGTTCACGTACGTAAAATGTATTCTATTTTTTGCACGGATTAATTAAATCGAATTTATATAAATTCAAATCCTTTTCGCGAGATTTTTGCGACATTATAATTCTTTTGAAAAAATCAAGTCCTTTATGCCGATAAAGTAGAAATCTAGAAATTTAAAATGTCAATTTAATGTTCAAAACTTCTGGTTTTTTAAGCTTATTTTTGCCCGTGTACTACAGGGAATGATGTAAAGTGTATTTATATTTTCATTTTTACTCTTCCACCATACTACTTTTTAGTTTATGATCCGCACTAAATAGATACTTTCGTTGAATTTTTAGACACTAGTGCGCGAAAGTAGATTGTCAATTGTAAAATTGACGTTCCCGACGTTCGTGCTTTATTGGGAAAACGCGATTTAGAAGGAAGGAGTGCAAAAATTTGTTTTTTTTCCTAGAGGAAGGATACGGAAGTTTAAAAAAGTTTCATTCTGCGTGCATTCATTGATTTTATAATTTATGAGAATGCGATATAAGTATGTACATACCTACCTATCATCAAACACCAATCTCTTATAGATAAATTTTAACGTTTGCTTATTCAAAGAGGACTGGAAACTGTCCATACAAGTTAATTTGTTAATTGAATGTAATTAGATTCAAAATTTCGATGTTAATATTTTATCTTTGACGATTTTACACCCTCGTGTAATTTTAATGATTACCTACTTTTTGTACAGTAAACTACTGTATCGTTTCATAAATTACACATAATCGTAAGTAGGTATACCTGCCCTTAGTACAACCTACAGTTCGATTCTTTCTAATAGAGATAACGAAGTACCTACATTTAAATAAGCGTGGAAAGTCACCACATGCTTTACTAAAATAAAACATTCATAATGGTGGGAAATTCAACCAAGACAAACCTGCACCATTGTAAACGAAGTAGGTACCTACATCAATATGGTGGAGTGATCCAGCCTTAGACTATTTCTCTAAGGATCCAGCAAGCTGGCGGTATGCATGCAATACCTATGTAGGAATACTAAAGTGGGGGTCTAAGCTTCTACCTAGGCTCTAAGGATACGTAGGTACTTAATTGCATATGTATTTTTCACTAAATAAGTAGGTAGATATAGATTTATTGCAGTATGCAGATGCAGCTGTTCGCCGACTTGCTTCTGCAACTGAAATTATGTGTATAGGTATTGATTTGTTTCGCGACTTAACTAATTTTTATCTTCTATTTCCCGTTCCCCTATCCACCCTAAGAAGGTCGGTACTTTTATTGGTTTGGTACCCGCGATTTTTATGACAAGTATGAGAATAGGTCGTAATTAAGTACCTATATTTGATGCCTTTAGGTGACTATAGTTCACCGGGTGTGCATGGTGAAGCGGCGCATCCGCCAAAACCGAACGTAGGTAGGTATGTTCCATACTACAATAAAGAAAACGAGATTTCCCAATGGCGGTCCAAATTTCGCGGGATCTGTCAGTGTTTATATAAAAACCACTAAAATATTAGGGCCCCATTGAAAATGTAATCGGGTACCAATTTATTTTGGTTCACGCCCTGGCACTTGGGAACGGTGGCAGGTAGGAGCATGGGACCTTTTCCATTATGTCCAGGATGCGAAGATAAGTTCGACCCCCCCCCCCCCATAAGCAGAGATCCCAGAAACTAGCAGAGATAGAAAGACGTAGTATGATTCAATTTTTAATGTTAGTTTTTGAACTCCCTGTATTTATTTACAATTAAAACATCAACAGAGTCAACCAAAGCGGAAACCTCTTCTAAACGGAAACCAGCCCCAAACCAACCTCATTGAAAAAAAATTGTCACATGATTTGAGCGTAAACGTGGTTTTTGACATAAAATGGTATTCAAGGGAGCATCAACTTCCAGTATAGCCAGAAGTGCCATACCATATTCATATTTTATTGACAATTAGTACCTATACTAGCAAACTTTCAAAATATTCATGTGCCCTTTTTAAAATAAACCCGGCATTCGTCGTGGACACCCTGTATAATTACATTCCTTCTTATTTTATATTTAACAAGTTTCATATTTTCAATAAATTAGAAGTGTCAAGATTACTTAAACACACTGTATATTATGTGTCCATGTTTTGTACATTATCTACTTTATTTTAAGGGGCATAATTAATAGCAGAGCATGAATTTGGATCAGTAGTAAATAGTGCAATGAAAATTTATTCAGTTTTCTAAAAACGATACAAATTCGGTAAGCTTATAAAGCTGATCTTCACTAGAGGTGTCTCCAGATGATTGCAGATTCGACCTTACAGGATGAATTATGTGAGTATCCATTTCAACAGACCAACCACGTTCGACACAAGCTGCTCCCGCAACATCTTGCGATAATCCGGTCATTGCAGCAACCATGTCAAGAGAGATCGACGAATAAGCTTGTTCAATCAGGTCAATGGCTCTACTGCGTACCTTTTCTACTGAAAGCAAAATTACCTTACAATCAAAAACAGGGCGCTTTACCATGTAATATTTTCATAATTTCCGCTACAGAGTCGCTCCACGTCACAGCATTAAGAGCCTTATAAATAGCAGGAAAATCTCTTTTCCACATATGTTGTCCTACTGTCCATATATTACCTAACTCTGGATTCGAGGACTTCACATTTACAGGTATACGTTTCCATAAATACTTCGCATTGCATCTGCAAAATGTGTATCAAGACTATTGGCCAGTATTCTTATAGATACTTACAGATCATTCTGATATAAATAAATAGCTAATAATTGTGCATAAATTTGAGGTAGTGGAATACCATTAGGCGCCTGCAGAATACAACATAAAATCTAACCTAACAATTTGTTGGGAACTTACTTCTAACTCCTGTTTTTCTAAATCTTCGGCTAATTTTTCAATGTTATTATTTATCACCATTTCTATTATTAATCATTCATAGGTTAATAAAACGTACTATCATTACGAGTGTTTGTCAAACATTTATAAATTAATGTACCCTACTAGCCATAGAAGTCAACAGTAGACATGAGCCATGGCCGCATCCAACTAGTGTTGTAATTGTAATAGTTTCCTATGGCTACATTCATATAACGAGATGTCAATTATTGAGATTTCCCAATGCTCATAAAATACAAGCCGTACTGAAGGGTTTGACAATATGACAACACTATCTTCGCACACATTAGTCCAGTCGCGTGCAGGAAAACTGCTCTTTCTCAGTTATTCACAACAGTTCTCTAATTAATTTATTATGGTACGAGATGTCCAGTACCTAGCTCACCTTTTCTTCCAATTTATCTAAGAGCTTTGTGAAGATGTAGAAACCAGAAGGACTCCCTTTAAAATAACAATTATACTGTCGGAGATTTAGTTTTTTTTTCCTTCCGCTATAAGGTACAGGCCGCGCGGTTTAACATGGCGAGAGCTTTCGCACTAAATATGTACGTCGCGTCAGTTTTGTGAAGAATTTGTGTCAGGATGGACGTAGGCATAATTTTACGTCGGTTACAAAGAAGAAGAACGATGAATGAACGACGAAATGTGTTTTACGTTTTCATCCTATAATTTTAATCGCTGTCGCCGATGCAAGAAGCAATTTCATTTTGATCGACGTAGAATTATTGGTAGAGACAATGATAGTACCAAAGAGTAACTATAATTACTCTTTGATAGCACAGTTTTCTCAATTATACGGTGACCCGCATAATGCTTTTTAGAGGTGCCCCTGCAAAAGGTCTACTACACTACACTACGGCCACTCTTCTCATATTGCTTACGCACCGTACGGCAGCCGGAACGAAGTTAAGAAAGGAGTCGTTCCGGCGAAGAATAGGAACTGTATTTCTCCGTAGAAGTAGAAACCCTACAGGGCAACATCATACTAGATAATCTCCTCTCTCATAATAATTACTTGAGCAAACGAAAAACAGTAATCCACGTCAACTTTCTGTCAAGTTTCTTTCCCCAAAAACTCCTATTCCGGCAGTTGCGCACAACAGTCAAAGTCAAAGACTTTTGTTTCCGTGTTTCGGTTTCATTATAGTGTAAGGTGTGTCGCCTAACCACAGAGGTATGTCACCAAAATATTTAATATTTCCCGGTGTTTTTGTAAGAAATATACTTCACAACATTTTTTGGTACAATAAATTTCAAAATGAAGTGAAATTTTAAATGAAAGTAACCACGCGTAATCGCTTTGGTACCAAAATTACAGTTCATATTCCTTACATTTATAAAGGTTTATAAATCTGTTCAAATGTAAATTAATGTTCGCGGTTATTAAATGTTGGGGTAGGTTATGAAAGGGATAATATGTTTCTTGTCTGCGCCTGTATATTTAATGGTCGTTGTTCCTTTTTACTAAGAATTTTCACAACAATCCTCGTATCATTTCTTATGCTGGGGACTTGCAGATGTGTTCCACACTGACTCCCTGTACTGCGCAAACGTAAGCGCGCTAAAATTTGAATTTGCTTTAACGGGCCACCGTTTGTTTTGTTTATAATACCAGTTCCTGCTGACTTCCATATTACAAACCAAATGTCGCTGTATTTTCGGAAAGAATATGTTCTTCTTCTCGAATTAAAGCCTTCGGTCACTACTGTGAATTCCAGTTAAATACATTATAGCGCCAACTTGAAAGCAAACTCTAGCTATCAGTCATGATCCTTGTAGTCTGGTTTTTTGTGATTCGTTCAGCACCGGACTCTCTCTTTACCATAGGTCAATGTTGGTCTGTAACTTATTGCTGTAAGTAAATGTCATTAACTCTTTCTAATTAACTATTACAGTACTTACCGAAGCAGTTTCCTAATATCGCCTTTGGCATATTCTATGACCATGCACTCCAAATGTAGATAACAACAAAATTCATCTTGATAATATGGCATTTTCATATACCTACTACATATAATAGGTAAGCAGGTAAGCTAAAAATTATCTACAATTATAACGTTTCTTACTCTGAGTTATTTTTATTTATTATTTACACTTGACAGCTGTACACAAATTCAAATTTTAGCGCGCTTGCGTTTGCGCAGTACAGGGAGTCAGTGTGGAACACATCTGCAAGTTGGGGGAATTTTGCACCTGTCTGTTGGCAATCCCAATTGGATCAGCTGTATGTATAAATCAAATTGAGACGTAATTGATTTATTTTTTAATTAGAAGGTAGGTTTTATCGTTTTTGCAACCCCACGGGGGGTCTCGGCGGTACTAGTAAGAAGGGAAAATGTCTATTCGAGCAATTAGCAGCCGACTGTTTCGGCATGGTCAAACTGTTGTTCGGAACATTTGTAGAGACTACAATCAAAATTCGAGAAATATTGGGGATAAAATCAATGTATCACAAGCGACAAGGGGTCAGCTATCGAATACTGCAGTTGTTCCTCGTAATTTCGCATTACGAAATGTTGGTTTACAATTTAGTATTCACGCTCGGCGAATTTTCGTTGATAATGTACTTAATCGTGTTACAAGCACTTTGGCTTCTGAATTAAGAAAGAAGGCAGCACGAGGGTAAGTGTTAATTACAACCCGTGCACACTATTTTAACGTACTACTTTAAGAATTTTGTTCGGCAATTCTGCACCATTTCTAGCTTTTGTTGGAGTAAGTTTGGCATCGGGTACAGGTATAATCACCAAGGAAGATGAACTCGAAGGAATCTGTTGGGAGATTCGAGTATGTACGATAGATGTTAGTTTACAAAATCTCTTGAGAATTTGTAGGAGGCGATTTCGAAATTCAAGTGGACCGTTGATAAAACTGCAGATATTTACGATACCAAATTTGAAACCGAGTCCATTACAGTTAACAACTTGGATTTTGGCCAACCCATTGCTAAAGGTGCAAATGCGGTCGTGTACGAAGCAGGATTAAAATCATCCCCATTGGAATGTGCACAAGGTGATGCTGTTGGAATCAAATACCCACTGGCAGTTAAAATGATGTTTAATTATGATATACAATCTAATGCAATGGCAATTCTTCAAGCAATGCATAAGGAAACTCTTCCGGCACGGCAGTACACAAATAATATAAGCGCCGTTAACATGTGGGAAACTGAGTACGATAAACAAAAAGCAATGAGCACATAACAAAAGTTAAATTTCAGGTTGTTGAATGCAAGAATTCCTCTCCCCTTGCATCCAAACATAGTTACCATGTTCTCTGTGTTTACTGATTATGTACCTGATCTTGTAGGCAGCAGGGGCTTATATCCGGCTGCATTACCATCTCGTCTTTTTTCTGAAGGTGAAGGCAGGAATATGTCATTATTTTTAGTTATGAAAAGGTAAGTATTTATAAAATGCAATGCAATTTGAATCCAATGTGAAAACAGGTGTGGTCTTGAATAACCCGATATAGTTATTTTGTTTTTAAATTTGGGCTCTCCTAATTAGAAATTGAGGTTGAAAAGTCGTCAGAAATCTGGTATGTTTGTTAGCTGTTGAGGTACCATAAATATTACTTTTGAACCTGACTGATGTCCACAGTAGTTTTAGGGTTGGTTTTTCTTGTCTTAATTAAACTTATCTGACTGACTCATCTGACATGGAAACAAATTGAAGTATTGGCATAGGTTATCTATGAGACAAGACAGACCTGTCCTTACAGTAAATCTCAACTGTTTAATTAACTACTAAAAGAGCATAACCTTCTAACTACAGGGTGATGTGTATTTTTAAAATACAGTTTATACTTGGGCTCTGTTCTGTTCGTGCCTCTGAGGTGTGCGATCTCTACACTTGGACTTTGTAGAAGGCCGAGTTTTTTTTATTTAATAGGATGGGCGAAAACAAATCTAAAAATATACCATTTTCGCCCATCCTATGAAATAAAAAAAACTCGGCCTTCTACAAAGTCCAAGTGTAGAGATCGCACACCTCAGAGGCATTTCTTTCCACAAATATAACACGGGATGATATTCAAGTAGTTCGAAAAATTCAAAAAAGATTTTAAAATATTTAAAAAAATATTTCAAACATTTAAAATAGAGTCGGATGATAAAAAATTCAAAAAGATTTTTGAGTTTATGAACTTTGACATAGTCTTTTTTGGTTCTTATTAACCAATATTGAATTAAAAAAATTTTTTGGTGATCTATTTTTGAAAAGGGAATTTAAAATGCTATATTTTTAGAATAAAATATACAGTGTTCCATTTAAAAATGCAACTTTGACGTGGCAGATTATTCAACAATCATAAAGAAATTTTTTTAATAAACAATTTTTGTAGGTATATCTTTTAAGAAATATGTCATTCTAAAATTGACAATTTTTTGATTTTTCCTCATATCTCTTAAGCGAGCGAAGTTGACCTAAAAATATGCCTACATGACTTTTTTGATAGCACTAACAGTTACAGAGATACCCTATAAAAGTCTCGAAAATGGGACACCCTGTATATTTTAATTTCAAGGTGCTTTCCTTTCGGATTGTCCTCACTTATGCTATCATAGTTATAAATTCACCATTACCTTTCTACAAATTAATATGCAATAATTTTCAAGATACAACTGTACTTTACAAGAGCACTGCAAGGGAAACGAGATCTCCCTGCGAAGTAAGATATTGCTTTTCACTCAATTACTGGAAGGAATTGTCCACCTAAATTTGCACGGGGTAGCTCACCGAGATCTGAAGTCCGACAATCTCTTACTGGACACATCTGAAGAAAGTGCCCCAATTTTAGTCATTACGGATTTCGGTTGTTGCCTTGCTGATCAAAATTATGGTCTAACGTTACCTTATCCGGTCTACGATATTGATAAAGGTAAAGTGATTACTTCCATTCCCAGTTACTATAATGTGGCTGTCTTTTAGGGGGGAACACCGCGTTAATGGCACCGGAGATTATAACTCAAAAACCGGGAACGTTTTCAGTTTTGAATTATTCCAAGTCCGACTTGTGGACTGCTGGTACGATTGCTTATGAAATATTTGATGGCAGTAATCCGTTTTATGGCAAACGATTGAGGAGTAGCGATTACCAGGAGCATAAGTTGCCTGCATTACCTGATTGTGTGCCTCCAATTGTGAAGATGCTTGTGAAAAATGTTCTGAAGCGCAATCCCAGAAAGGTAAACCGTACTCATTTAAACTTACCTAATACCTACTTAGAAAGTGTTGTAGCGTTTAAATCCGGAAGTGGCAGCAAATGTTATGCAGTTATTTTTATGGGCTCCAAGTGCTTGGTTAAATAACAAGAAACTTCCAACAAGCTCAGAGGTAATTAATGTAATCTGAAGAAGAGTTACTTGCATTGTTCTTTTATAGATTCTGCAGTGGCTGTTATGTCTTACAACAAAGGTGTTATGTGAGGGCAGGCTTTCCAATTTACCAAGTGGACACAATGGCAAAGGTGGTAGGCGTACTTATCCTGAATATTTACTCATTGCTAGCTTTTTGCGAAGAGCCAAGTTGTCCACAATTCGAGCATCGCTTATGTTTATTCATAGTGATTAGTCATCTTAAGATGTATATATTCTTTCTAAATGTTAAGTTGTGTGTTGGTTTTGTAATTTACACGTCGTGAAGCAAGATTCATTTGCACTGTAGCTCATTCTTTGGAAAATATGTATCTAGCTATCATCAGAAGGGCATGCAGAGATAATGCTTGAATAATGAATTGTTAATTTTATGAAATACATAGTTTATTTACTGTAAGTGTAAGTTGTGTTCTTTATTTTTCAACCTTTATTTGATTCTTTACCAAGTTCTAACAACAGCTAGTAGTAGTTCTACTCCCCACAACAAATATTCTGTGTAATGAAAGAAACTGAGCGCCTTTAACAATGAGAGTTAAAGCTTTGTTTATATGAATAAACAAAGGTTAAAAGACTGTGGTCCATCCGCCATATTGGAAAAATACTTTCTTATGAAATGCTTTTGCAGTTGAAGTCTAAATAAATTCTCGATAGTGGATATTCTTTGCAATGATGAAAAGAACGGCGGTATTTAAAAAAATTTAATATCGGTCTTACTTTTTTAGGAAGATCGATGAACAGAAAAATCGTTTTTTGTAGATAACAGCGTTGTAATGAGGGTAGAAAAACGTACAGCACCAATTTGGAAATCCTTACGGATTTATTTCGGCGGTACTTAAAGATATTATTTCCATCTATTATGATAAGGCATATATTTAAAAAAATATGTTTCGCGATCTTCAGAAAAAAATCAAAACGCTAACGTAAGGATAGGCAACTCAAATTGCACTTATAACGCCCGAGGCGACAGCTCATTATACCATTTTTTTCACTACTAGCGTCTGATGACATGATTATTAACCTTTTTTCCACTTGTAAAGTATTACTTGAAAGGGAAAACAAAAGAAACTACCTGGCATTACCCTACACATTGTTACGCCGTTCCTAATGATTGGATTAGATTAGATTTGTAAATCATAATGTCACATATTCCCAAGACGAAAAATGGATATCCTATTATAGGTACAATGGAAATAATTTTTTTTTCTAAAACCGAGCCTCAAACCTTTTGCATTCCATCAGGATGCTTCAAGAAATAAAAGAAAACTCTATAATGAGGCTGTAGTAATATTTCCCTTTGACGGGGCGGGCCGCGGGGGGTACGTACAATACTATAGGTACTTCACATATTATAATATCATAAGTAGTGCTGAATATGAACTCTGTTTTATAACAATGCTTTCAAACTACCAGAAGCGTAGCACTTTGTTTAGTTAGATCAAATCAAATATGACTAAATTACACGTTTGTCTATATTTCCCATCTAAAATTATCAGTTTCCTCAGATAGTCCAGTATGCGGAGCAGTCAGGAGGGTCGATTCATGCAAAATGTGGTGTAAACGATTTTAACGTTTTAAATGGTCCATTTGGGTCCAAATAACACGTATTTGAAGAGTGCACACCAATTTTTTCCCGGCACAACTTTTGGCAGCCAAAAAACCTCAAAACGTTCGGACTTTTTTCAGTTTTTCGCTTAAAACTCGACAACGATCCATATTTTATGAATAACACTTCTTTAGTAAATTAAAGAAAACAAAATTCTGCGTGGATAAAAAAAAACAAACAAAATCGGCCCAATAGAAAATTTTTTACAAGCGATCAAAAAACGCCCATTTTTTCCAACTTTTCTAAAGAACTGAGTTAACCTTTATTTAATGCGTTGTGGCTCCTAAAGCCTAAAGGAACGATAAAATCCACTACCCCCACCCTAAAGATTGTAGAACATCAAGCAGAGAGTTCAAAAAGTACCAACAATTTAAAATTGGACCAATTTTTGAAATTCGTTGGAAAAAATGGGCGTTCTTTGATCGCTTGTAAAAATTTTTCTATTGGACCGATTTTGTTTGTTTTTTTTGATCGACGCATAATTTTGTTTTATTTAATTTACTAAAGAAGTGTTATTCATAAAATATATGGACCGTTTTCGAAATTTAAGCGAAAAACTAAAAAATTGACAAAAATTTTGAGGTTTTTTGGCTGCCAAAAGTTGTGCTGAAAAAAATTTGTGCGCACTCTTCAAATACATGTTATTTGGACCCAAATGGACCATTTAAAACAATAAAATCTTTTACACCACCTTTTGCAGGTCAAAATTATCTGCATTCTGGACTAAGAGTAAGTCTTCGTGAAAATTATCTATTTCGAGAAATGCGACCAAAATCAAAAGATGCACATGCCCTTTGCTTTCCATAAAGTTGCGCCCAATAGATAACAAATGAGACATAGGCATTTTTTCACTTATTAGCGGAACATAAACATAGGAAACGTCGTGGTATGTTATATAAAAAAAGAAACGCTACCTATATAAATACAATTCCCCTTTTTTGTTAAATTCCTAAGCGGGATACGATAACTAATAGCCGACACTGACAATTTTATTTAAAACCAAGTGTCACTGTTTTGCTCATGTAAAGTCAAGTTAGTGAAAGTGGTGGATATAAAAAATTCTTGCACTTTTAAAAAAATTCGACCATTTATCTTTCCGTTTCAGAATACCTTTTGATGGAGTCCCACAAACTTCACATCAACTTTGCGAATTTTTTTCAAATTTCCAATACTATGTAGCGACAGAAACCGGTAAATTTTGTACTACTACCTACTTCTTTTTTCAATATGGACTGATATCAACTTTATCAACAGGAATATTTTTCCCTCAAAAAATAGGACGATCAAGTAGGGAAATTTTATATTTACCATTGAATTCAGGGCAAAAAAGTGAAGTCATCTTACCGCACAAACGATGTTCGGAAAAATTCTCCATGGGTCGTGCATAGATATAAATAAGTAATACGCTAAATGTACAATTGTTATTAATTTTTGAAAAGATAAGGATTTATTTAGAATCAGTATAAATGTTATACTTTTAATCATTGTAACAGAATTTTAAATGTCAGCTACCATTTTTATGAAAACAGTAAAGAAATATTTATTTTAGGTGTTCGAAGTGCCGGTTTTTTTAGGATCTACCATATCTAAGTGAATTCATTCATGCACATGTGTACCTAATAACTATAAAAATGATTAGAACAAAACAAATCACAAGAAATAAAGGGGTAATTAAAAAATGTTATAACACACAATGCTAATCTAGTCCACTAATTACCTGAAAACCAGGTAATTTACAGAAGGTGTCATTTTAGAAAAATGTAGTAAATGCGTTGAATAAGTAATTTACTCAATGGTAAAAGAAATAGGCATTTGTGCATCTCCAGTAAAATATTGTACAGCTTTTCGATAAATTTGTTTACATAATTAGACCTTGATCATTATACATGGTCTATTGTGTTTAACAATAAATAAAGAGAATATGCAAAACTGAGAAGGATAGATACATCGTTGGTTTCACTCAAGGAGAACATGTAGCAGTGTGTATTGTTGGTGGTCTAACCAATTGCAATAACACTGACATACAAATTGACCACAGAGGAGCCACAAAAACCTGTGGTAGTGGTGCAATAATGATGTGATCCTTGAAATATATTAAAGTGTTATTTGATCTCCCCTTTCTTTGTAAAGTATACCTTTGAAGTAGTAGCAATAGTTCCAGCTCAACCTGCAAATGTGTAGAGTTATAATAATGATAATGATGATTTATTGTCCAACAGATGTTTATACATCCAATTACAGAACAATTACAGAAATTAAATATGGGATGATTGAAAAATAAACATAATATAGGTACTATACATTGATTATCAAAAAAAAAAAAATAAAGAGATATTTAAATGTAAGGAGACATATATTAGTATCTACGAAATGACAAACCAATTAAAGATTTCTTTCTTAGGTATAGGCGTACATATTAATGAAATAGATTAATTGCATCTGATAATGAGCAGATATTTAAATCACATTGTGTGTAGTATTGATTACAATTTTGTGACATCAAACACACTGGCGATTTTAACAGCAAGGATTAAGAAAAACTAGCGACTAGTACGAGGCGGAACATGAAAGTTAAATAAGGACAGGACGCCAGGACAATCAATACGGTTATGTAATAGAGCATGGGTAAATTTAAGACTATTGCAAATACGTCTTTTCTCCAATGATTGCAGATTAAACCGACTAAGCAGTTCATCATAGGGACAACCTCTAGCCGGATAGACACCATCTTGCTTAAGCGAAACGTACTTCATAAATCTTCTTTGAATTTTCTCAATTGAGACAATGTGGGTCCTATAGATCGGATACCAGATAAGATCACAGTACTCCAATTTGGGCCTTATTAAAACACAATACAAGGACAACAACGTATCAGTATTTTTAAACGGTTTACTATTACGAATTATGAAACCCAATGTTTGTATAGCTGACGCAGAAATAGCTTGAATGTGGTTTGAAAAATTTAACCGTTGATCAAACACTACTCCCAAATCTTTTGCAACGGTCACACGATTAAGAGGAACAGAGTCAATACAATAATCATACTGAATGACATGCTTTCTAGTATAAGACAATATTTTGCATTTACCAATATTTAGATCCAATCTATTATCAGTACACCAATCATGAATAATATTTAATTGTTCTTGCAGGTGAACACAGTGGCTCTCAGAGCCAATCTTCCGAAATATTTTTAAGTCATCCGCAAATAATAGGCACTTACAGGAGAGTACCTTGGTAATGTCGTTAATAAATAGAAGGAACAAGAGGAGTCCCAAGTTAGATCCTTGAGGCACCCCAGAGGATGCAATAAAGACTTCGGATTTAAAATTATTATAGCATACATACTGTAGACGATTAGATAAGTATGATGTAAAGAGCAGGCTAAGAGAGTCACTGAATCCAAAATTTCTTATCTCTTTAATAATTAAGTCGTGATCGATAGTATCGAAAGCTTTGCGGAAGTCTGTGTATATTACATCAACTTGTCCTTGATCATCTCGTACTCGACTTGCAAATTCCGTGAAACAAATAAGATTCGTTGCTGTGGATCTAGAGCGCATGAAACCATGTTGATCGCTCGAAATGTAATTTCTAATCATAGGATAAACAAAGGTAATTTAATTTTAACTAAAAGGTCTAAGCTAAGGTATGGCCATGAGTTCATTTGAGAGGCTAACTATGAAGTTCACTCATATTCCAATGTTGAACTGACAAAACCCGAGACGCCTACAACAAGCTCTTTGTAAGATATGTTGTTTTCTTCAGTCCACAATTCCCGTTCTTGTCTTACCAACCAAGAATTTATATAAGAGCATGACGCGCAGTGAGAAAGCAGAATTCCTGACCTGACAACCACAGCTCTTGAACTTCTGTCAATTAATTGGACCTCTATGGCACTGGCAAATATCTTAATATGACAATCGATCTTTATGGTTCTCACGGCTAGCTCCGTAATAACATTGTTTTTTATACCCCTTACCATGCACTTACGCTGAATAAAATCTCTCGTATATAAAATTGCACGCGTCTGCTCTTATAACTTCGCTAAAAAATTAACATCAACACATTAAAAATGGTGCACGATGTTTCGCCAAAAAACAATTTATACTAAATCTCCTTCTTCGCTATTTGAATCTCGCCCGGTAGAAATTTCGAAACGAGCCCTATTTTCTGAACGAAACAGTCGCGACTACTGTACCCCTTTAAACCAATAGTAAATCAACACTTTTCTCATATGCTCGGCTTTTGGCACAACGGAATGTCAATGGAACAAAACTTTTAGGTCCGAAGAGATCGTGGCAACTGCACTTGCTTGCCGCAATACGCTTCTTGACATGACTAGTTATCGCCAGACATATCTTCGTTCAAGTTCACTATGAAGCGGTACACGTGTCAATTTTTCTATGCTTACCGAAATATAATTTTTATAGTAAGAGAAATAGTAAAGAGGGCGCAACTATAATATGAAATTGCGATACATTTCAAACATCGCTCAATAACAAAAACCAAAGAGTACCCATAGTAAGAGATCCAACGCCATAGAGAATAGTATTGTATATGTATTGTGTGTTGCCTAATAAATTTGATTGCTTTTCTTATGGTGGGTTCATAGCTCTCCGTTCATCCGTTGCGTTGATCCGTCAAACGGATAGTACATTTTGTTAAGGTTCATAGCAATCCGTCCACATTGTACATTTGCAAGTATAACCATAACCTAAACTTTATTTTGTACTGTACCCTCCGTGATTTTCAGTATGTGAAAATGGTACGAAAGTAAGAACACATTGCTATCTGATTATTACCGTGAAGAACGTATAGACGAACGCTGTTAACATACCAAACATAACCTCACTCTTGTTAAAAACGGACCAACGGAAACGTAAATGTTCAACTTCAACCAACTTTTCCGTCGTAAACGGACGACGTACGATTTAAAAATTTGCTGTCTTCTGATTGGCTAACGGACAAACGGAAACGTATGAACGGAGAACTATGAACTTACCTTTAGACCATATTGTACTATATGGTCTAAGTTGCTTTTTCTCAATTTTATTGGCGCACGCTACGCCTTAGGGGATATTTCAAGGCAACTGTACTTGTTTATAAGTTTATAAATATACCTAATTGCAGAAATCCCAGCGTTGCCAAATTTTTAGTGTTTGCTTGGGTATCTATTATTCCTTGAAATTTATAATGTTTAAAGATACGTAATTCCACTCTGATTACGCTTAGGTATGGCACAATTTATTAAGGTCCGGACTAAGGACGACTCTGCGGACTAAGGGAAACGTATGAACGGAGAGCTATGAATCCACCTTTACGCTAATTGTGTGGAGTCGGTACCTACCTACATTTGTATGTCATAAATGAAATGTCACTACTCCACATCAACCGATAAACATGGGTGAAAGACTAACGGAAGTATTTATGCAATTATTCAGTGAGAAAAACTCCGACGGAACGAGAAACTTGGTTTTAAAAGGGAAAGACTTGTGGCAAAGAATACAGTTAGTTAGCACCATACGTCATATTTAAAAACGGTATTTATTTTTCAGCACACGTTTGCATTGCCAAGATATGTTCAAAATTTCCTCATTTCTCCAAAATAATAAGATCATTGTAAAGTTAGATCTTTGCTACAACGAAATTGGTGACAAAGGTGTTGAACTACTTGTGGATCATTATTTGTCAAATGAAGGCAATACGTTAGCTCACTTGAATCTTGGTTCGTGTGGGATTAGTCATAAAGCCGTGGAATCATTGCTAACAGCTTCGTCTACATTAAAATTAAAATCGCTAAGGTTAAATGGAAACAAATTAGGGTTTAAGGTGAGTAAATAGTTACTATGTTATATACAACTTCTTATGTGAACGCATAATAGGGAGGAGTTATTGTATCCCAGTTACTAGGAGCAAGTACAACGTTGCTTCATTTGGACGTTGGTGAAACAGATCAAACTTTGGCAACAGTACAATACTTCATGCAAGTAATGCGTGATGATATAGGGACCATCAACAAGTTACGCATTTTTGATTTCTCCCGTTTGGTTCCAATGTCCAAACACTATCAGTATGATCCCTCTCATTTAGCCGAATCTGTAGGAGAAATGCTTAAGGTGAAAATAGACTATGATCAGGGATTTTAATATATCCATCGATATGTAGTGCAACACTAAGCAATCGTGGAATTTCAGGTTAACCCTTATTTATCAGAAATTCATTTACAAAAAAATGGAATCGATGGCCACGATATTGAATTGCTGCTATTGGGTGTGAAATTAAATAAAACCCTAAAGTTTTTGGACTTGGGGTTTAACAACATAGGGGATCATGGTATAGAGTTGATTGCAAGGTGGCTTTCGAAAAGACCGCCGTTACTTGCTTTAAATGTTGCTGGAAATGGAATCGGTGATACTGGCGCAAGGTCAGTATTAAGTAGGTAACGTGCCTATAATATTCATACTCTAAGCAGCAACAAAAAAATGGAGTATTTTGTATAGGACTCGTACCTATGCCTAGAATGTAGGTAAGTAGCTGTAAGGAGGGGTGAAAATAGTCTTAATAAACAACAACGGGACGTAGAGTATAAATTATCGCAACTCATAATGGAATAAGTGCATTTATGTCGTTTGCTGCAGCGCCAAACAGCGGTCTTTACGTCATGTTTTACGTTGACATTAGTAAACAGAGATGAGATAAATCGTTTACTCTTCTTTCATATTATCTTCCTAGTTACATCCGTGCATGGGTGATTTTTAAGTTCTCCGGACTTAAGGCTTCGGGCTTTATTTACCTACCCATGGATCCAGGCAAAGGCGTATTGAATTTTTTTAAGTTATTTGGGAAGGCAAGGAAACGTGGAAAATTCTTATCGCGACGTATTTGGTATCTGGGTGTGTTTTTCAAGATAAAAACAACGAATTCAAAAATTCAAATAAAGTCCCACTGCGACCCTTGGACGGATCTTAAAATTGCCAGAATTTCATGAAGTTTGATGACCACGTGTTGTATGTATGTATAAGACTAAAAGATCTGTTTCGAATCGCAGTGAACCGCTCGGTTAAGCCCAGGGCCAACACAATAATTGTACCAACAATTTAGCAAAACTTTGACTAGGTTGCCGAATCAAGTAAACAACCCCCCCCTCCACCCCACCCTTGAATAAAAAAAACTTACATACACCAAAAGAGGGAACAAATTACCCCTTCTATGATCTTGACACAAATATACGGAGTAGCAGGAAATTTTATCTGCTTCAACCGCGCACGCAACCTAGTACGAAGTGAAAATGCCCGAATAAAGTCCGATTCACATTATCGGTCACGTCACGGTCAGATCACGGTCCACTCATGGTGCGGTCATTAATTGACCGTAACCTGACCGATAATGTGAATCGGCCTTAAGGATTACACTCTATAATAATTGACCAAACCGAGACCGGACAGTAATCTGACCGTGACGTGACCGATAATGTGAATTGGGATTAAATATACAGGGTGAGTTTTTTTCATTTTAAGCATTAGGATCTCGGAAACCTTAAGACATAGAGATTCGGTTAAATGAGGAAAGAGTTGTAGTTTTAAGAGTTTATTAAAGATATGCTTTTGTTTCTTTAAAAAAATCCACAGTTTACTAGATATGAGCGAAAAACAGATTTAGTGATTTTTCATTTACCTGTTGTAGAATCGTGAGTATTAGGAATACAGACATATGCAAAGAACAAAAATTGTAGATTTTTTTCCGCTTAATAAGATACATTTATTAATATTTATTATTCTTTTATAATTTTCGAGTTATAACGGAAACTTACATTTTTTTAAATAGTAATCATAGTTGGCTGTGACATTTTTAAAAAGTGCATTTTTTTCTGTTTACAATGATATAAGGTTCATTGTACTTACTTTGACAAATAAACATAATGCAGAACTGTTTGTATTATTAAGAGAAGTAAAAACATTTTTGTTCTCTTAAATAATGTCTATTATAATACTTAGTCAATTTCACCCCGTTTTGAGTCGTTATAAGATGGATAGCTACCAATTTGTATTTGTCTATTATAATATTGTAACGTGATTTATAAATTCGGGTTCGATTTATATCAATATTTATTAAACAAAACTAAAACACTATAAAAACCGTACAATTTATATCGATTATTATATCACACACACTTCGCAATTTATATTTCCGTGCTCGATCTCGTTCGATAGTCGACTGCCGCGATGTTCGGTCCGCAACCATTTATACACGCAAGCAATGTAAGTCCCGAATATTCTAGAATACGCGTAGAAAATTCCAGAGCGCTAAAGGAGACGTCACGTCTGGAGCATTTCCGTTACAATATTTAACTTGCAGTTAGTTGTGCGACGGGGCACCGTTGTGTTGAAACCGGCGTAAATTACGTCGTGTTTCCAAATCTAACCCATCCTACATATCTTGAAATTCATTTGGTAGAAAATGAAGATAACATTGGCTTGTCCAATTTTCGTCGTAAATGAAAGGTACCTACCTCACTACATATTGTTTTCCATGGCCAACTCTGTTTACTTACCTCTCAATAATATGAAAATTACTGCAGGGCGTTTATTTATTAAAGTACATTTAGCAAGCCTTATATCGTTATAAAGAGGAAAATTGGTCCTTTTTAAAAATGTAAACGCCAACTATGACTACCATTAAAAAAATTAAAGTTTGTATTATAACTCAAAAATTGTAAGACCTAAAAATAAATTAGTATGTTCATCATGTTAAGCATTAAAATGTCTAAAACTTTTATTCGTGTCATTTTGTTGTATTCCTAATACTAACGATTCTACAACAGTTAAATGAAAAATCACTAAATCTGTTTTTCGTTCATATCTAGTGAACTGTGGATTTTTTTCAAAAAACAAAAGCATATCTTAAATAAGCTCTTAAAACGACAACTCTTTCCTTATTTAACCGAATCCGTATGTCTTATGGTTTCCGAGATCCCAATGCTTAAAATGAAAAAAAACTCACCCTGTATATAAAATTACAAGTTAAAAAAAACTGTTGCAACAACTAATGGGTATATGGGTACCGCCTAAAACGCTGCAGCCAACAAAATACACAATGTACATCGTGAATTCGACACGAAATCAGGCACACACAAAATATCTACGTACTTGAGACAAGAGTGTACGTTAGGGTTATTAATTTGAATTACCTAAACTAGAACGAAATGCAGAGGAAAATGACACAATGGACATCGTTTTCATTTCAATGAATTCCTTAGCAAAGATTAATTTTTCGTTCGAAATTATTAAGTTTAAAATGTAAGTCCAAATGTTTATCGTAAAATATAATTAAAGGATTCTAATATAAAAAGTAAATCAACATTAAAGCAATATATGCTCTATACAGGTCCAAACGGTTTATGAGTCTATTTTCGTCCATTCAGGAATTAAGGTATGTATTTAAATAAATCTTAGGAGCATATTTCATTCATTGTAGAATAGTAGCATAGCAATTCTGAAATCTTGTAATGTATGGTATTCAATTTTTGAATATCGATTAATTTTCTTGGACAAGTAACAGGGGTTTGGTGCCAATGGCCCGCACTGATCTTGCACCTCTCTCCGACCGTCTATAGATAGGGGGTTGGGACTATTTTTTTTATTTAACAATTATATCTATAAAAGCGCCTTTTTGGTGCCCCCCTTGATTGGCACCCATGTCACGTGCCATGCCTGCCATACCGTAGTTACGCCTCCGACAGGTAATGAGTTTCGACGTACCCATTTCTCGCATAAATAATAATTTTCATATTGGTTGGTCAATAAGAATTTGTTCATACACGTATTTTGTAGAGATAAGAAAATCGATTGTTGAAAACAAAGCTTTTTTAAATGTTAACGCGCATTTGTTTTGTCTATGTTTTGCTATAGGATAGGATAGCACAGAATGTAATCTGTGCTATAATCTGTGTTATAGGTATATTGTTCTCAAAGGTCTTGCTCTAGAGCGGTGGTAATTTGCCACCCCTTACTTTCTCTTTCCTATTCAGGCGAAAGCATTAATAAAAAAAACGAGAAAAAAAACAATAGATTGTAGATCGTTTACACCTAAAATCGAATTTTATTTGTTTTAGAGCTTTAAGCTTTGGAATGCCATTTTCAAAACTTCGAATGCTAGACATTACCAATAATCGTATTAAAAATGGTGGAATTATCGACATTTTAAACAGTCTAAAGAAGCCTTACGTGATGAGATATCTCTTTATCTGGGGAAACGACTTTGATCATAAAACACTTGTGGTAACCTCACATTCAAATAAATCCAAACCATTTTTTTTTCTGAATTTACCTAGATAATAGAACGAATGCTTCTATCGACTGTATTAGTTCAAGAACAGATTGATGTGAAACTCTACACCGTTGATGACGTTATATACGCAGCGTACTACCCTAGTAATCATTACAAGCACAGATACTACTGCGTGATGGATCACGGGTGTCCTGTTGAACTAAAGATAAAAAGAAACAGAATGGAGTCACGCAAGGACCTGCCGCATGCAAAGTTGAATCTCCACTATTATGACAGATATCCCCCTGTAAACCCCGTGCTACCCCCTGATAAACGCAATTGTGTATGCCAAACATGATCAATAAAATTTAAAGTACAATGTTGACTTATTCGCCATTACGACTAAAGCTTACACATGGCTTCAGCGGAAGGTCCGTCTTTTTATTGGATTAAGCTAAGCACAGGTAAGACAGGTAAAAGGAGGAGCTTCCAAGTCACCATTTTACACAGGTAGGTACTTAACAAATACCTACACGTCTAGAGGTAAAATAAGACCTCGTTCAAAAAATGATTAAGAAGCTTTTCCACTTTACATTTACAATTAAAGAAGAGAACCTACATCCTAGTAATATTTCATAGTAGGCTGACAGAAGGACTGTTAATTACACTAGTTCTCAAGAATTATAACGATCTCCGGTTGTGCGGTTGTCCCATCAGTGTGTCGAATACGGTTCAATTAAATTTTCGGCTTCAAACGCACAACAGAACGAGAATCATTATTCTCGACTCTTTGATGGATGCTTTTACTTGTGAAAGAGAGAATAATGACCTTTACAGGCCCACGCCACTCCTTTTAAATGAAAAGACAGACAAGAGGATTCAAACCCTTAAACATTCGTTAATGGCCAGTTGGTTGAAACTTTTATAATGTTTCTTACCTACAAAAAATAACCTAGCTCGTATTGAACTTGGGGTGTTCTAAATTTAAACTATCATTTCGAAAGGAAGGGACATTCGCATTCGGAGATTCATTTAGCATTTAATGCTAGGTACCTTGATTTATTTTTAAATCCCTTTTTAGATTGTATTGCTACTGATTATCTGAATAAGAGTATAAGTATTTCCCAGTAAGTTGGAATAAATTAATCCATTTACAAGCAAATGGGGAAAGTCATGCAGTGGCGAAGAAGAATGTTGTAATTTTGGAGTAAGTAATGGAGAAAAGCTTTGAGTACCCAACCCTCCGGCAAATGTATACCTACTGGGCCTCCTACTGCGAAGGATCATTTTTGGTTATAGAGGGATTATATTCCGAAGTATTTACGAGCGTTTATTCAAGTTCACTTGTTAGGTACTTTGTTACAATGACACCGATTATTGTATAGTATATTCTTAAAGTAAGAATATGGTTGGTACCGTATCTATTATGGGATAACAACGACTGAAGTATTGGTAACTTTATTCCCTTTTAGTGGAGGTCCGGGAAACCTCCACTGGCACTAATAAATTTGTGTTACCTTTTATTACAATCTCATTGTTACAAAATATTGTTTAAACCCCTCTTCTGCCATTTTTCATTGCGCCCTTTTGTTTTTATCATGTTTTCATGAAAAAATACAACTGTCTGTCCAAACTACAGTTTTTGTACATTTTCCTAAATGAGAAATATAGTGGATACTTCTCCGCCTGTCTGTCCGCTATGACTATGGTGTAGATCTGATTTTGGTAAAAAATATCTTATAGTAAGTAATAAAATAAATAAACAAGAAATTTAAACAATTTAAAATTTAAGTTGGAGTTGGAGTTGGCCGTTGCCATCAGAGATAGTCCGGAACGCAGTCCCGATGTAAACAAGTAATTAATTGTTCATTTCGGTTGAGCTTGCTAGAGTCTAGATAATGTAGTACCTACAACTCAAAAATTTCCATTTAAAGGGTTTACGTTCTGATAGGGATTCAGATTTACAAGTAACAGTGCCCAAGAAAGTGATAAAAAAGTACGGGTACAAGTAAGAATCATAATTCATAAGCATTTGGAACATAAAGAGGGTTGAGACGGAAGAAAAATGAAGAATTTAAAAAAGCAAAACCGGATACTTTGACAGTAACGGAGCAACAGCCACAAGTAGGTAGTTCCTGTGCTTGCAGTCTTAAGAAAAGACTCGGACGAACAATTGAACGCTAATGAGAAATAAACCGATACAACGGAATATCGAAGGATCCTCAGTATTGCCAGCACTATTTTAACGGTCAATTAGTTAAACTTGCAACTTCGATTCATATCATATTCAGGTCTTGGGCACTGAGATAATGTTCTTGGTCTTTTTTCCAACCATCTTTGTGCAACAATAACAATTTTAACATGTTTTGATAAAAAATGCATCAAAATCATGTCTTGGGCACCGAAATAATTCTGTTGGTCTTTTTTCCAACGATCTTGGTGCATGAATAACGATTTTGACATATTTTGATCAAAATACATGTGGGCTAAGAAAAACAATGGAACATCTTTGACACAAACACACGCAGTTATCAAATGTGCATGTGATGTACCATTTCGGCATCAAGATAATGCGTTTGAAAGTTTTTACAACTTCAAATTCATGTGTACCTAAGAATAATTTTGGGTACATTTTGCTCTAAAACTTTTGATCTACGCCACAGAGAAAAGTTATATTGAATTGTTACACATTTAAGAATCATAGGGAATAAAATATGCTGATTTCTATAATATTGAGGCCATAGTTTTTCCTGTTCACGATTCACTCGAACTTTTGTTCCTGTTGAGCCAGCTTCCTGAAAATCAATAACGTCCTACCCTAATGTACAAAGTACCCGTACACCAAATTTCAACACGATTGGTCACTTTTAAAAGATTTATAGCGCACAGGGACGGACGGACGGACAAAAATTAAAAAGTATCTGGAGATTATAACTACTAGAGTTATGGCGAACGGGGGACAAATGACGGACAAACACACAACAATGTAAAGCACGCATGGGCAACCTTTTTTTCCAAGGGGTCAAAATAAAATTTTTCATATGCCCCACGGACCACAGTTGAAAATCCAAATAAAAAGTATGTATAAAGAAATCAATAACTACCTATCTATTTCTTTTTGGTATTCGTAAAAATCATTTTTTAAAAAAAACAAGAAGTACTTCTGCCCATATTGCTATAAAGGATCTGAGAATCCTTAATAAGGGCGTACAAGGTTTGCGATAAAGGCGTACTAAACTCACACACACGATAACAGCTTCTGAATTTCACTTATTGTTAAAAACACTGAACTTGATGACAAAATCTTGTTTGATGAGTAAGATGAACAAATTTCCGATAGCTGCTCGGACGGTAGAAATGTTTAACTTTGAATATAAATAAATAATTTTGAAAATATTGTAACAAAAAATGTATAAAAGGACACAGTAACACAATATGAACAAACAATTTACTTCTGATACTTCAGATTCTGGGTTCTGTTGACGACCACTTTCTATTCCAAAATTTTCAGTTAAAGTTCGATGAACCCACCTTGAACAACTTCCTTAAATGTTTCTATGCTATATTCAAGGATTGTTTTGCTAAAATGTTTATCGGCCTGTTCATGTGCCTACTAGATTTTTCGAGAAGGTTTATTGTTTTCTACATAAGCATATTGAATTGTGTTTAGTCTTTAGTCTCAACATCGATGCCGACGTGATATATAGTAAAATTCGCGCTCGCACAACGTACAAATTATTTTTACGTCTGTGTTTCTTGATAGCATTATGCGAGTCACTCTGTAATTGGGCGCGTGCCTGTTGAGGGCCCTGAACAAGAGAGGGATAATAAATAAATAAAGAAATAACAGAATATGAAATTGTGTAATCGTACAAGAGTCGATATCGAGAAGTAGTAGCTGAATAGATGACAGAGGACGAATTTGACCGTAATATTGAGGAAAATAAGACAGGAACCGCAAAATGATCTATAGAATAATCAAAATTGAGGAATGGAATTCTAGAACATAATACAATTGACGACAAAGAAGGAATACAACTGAAACACGAGAAGAAAATTATGCAGAGAATTTCAAGAATGCTTAAGCCTAAAGAACCCAACCAGAAAAAAACCCACAAGCTCATTTTCAAAAAAGAAAATATGTACAGCTAGAATTCAATCTGAAAAAGGAAGACCGAAGAAGAAATAATTGGACAGAATAATTTTGTAAATTTTAACCAGCAGAAGATAGTAGAGAACAAGCGCAAGATAGAAAAAAATGGAAATAGAAGAGTGGAAATGAAGAACAATTAGTCCTACACCAATTCGATATACCGGGTGTTTCTCAGAAGTGGTTTCGTTATAACTTTTTTTTAACAAAAAATTAAATTTAACAGCTGTGTAAGAGAGGAAAATATGCATTGAAAAGGCTTAGCTTTGAAATAAACAAAAACGTAAAACTTAGACAATAATGTTACCTACCTATTTTGATAATGACAGTTGACAAAATAGTTTCTTCCGATAAATACGTGTTTTGACATTAAAATTAACTGAAATCACGTTAGGCGTCGATCGATCGAAACATGCAAGAATATACAGGTGGTGCCATTTAAAACTGGAAAACTGTTATCATTTCCCATGCAACCAGAAGTCACAAAAGCAACTGAATACGCATTTATATTTACCTCTCATACACAGCTAATTCTAAATGAAAAATTAATGATTTGATTGAACTATGATCCAAAAATGTCCCGTTACGAAAATATAGGGTGTTAAAATAAAAAATAGAAAGCTAGTGGATATTTCTGGCACCTCTTCAGATATTTGTATTATATTTAGTGTTGACTGACATTTAACAAAAGAGAACTTTTTACAATGATAACTTCAATATTTTTAAATACAAAAAAACCCCAGCTCAAAGCACACAATTTTTTACCACAGAATGGGGAGATGCAAGAAATATAAGTACAGCGGGAATCGTTAAAAAAACTAGGTGTACGACTGTACGTGTATAACTTTCGCATGCGCAAATAAAGTTCAACAAAAAGAATATGAATTAATGTTTGATAAAAGCAGAAAAACAGAAGAATGATAAGAAATCAAAAGATTAAAAAAATTAAAAGTATCCGAGGATTCCAAAGAATCGGAAAAATTTGAAGAATCATAAGAACATGAAATAATAGGACCCAATGATCGTAGCATGTTTATATGTAACTGGGATAATTGAATGACATCCCATCCTTTAAATTGTTTGAAATTAAATGTCCTGGAATTGGCAACACAAAATACGCCCAGTTCTTCCAATACTGTGCTATTTTACGAGTATATCATGCCTCTTAAATTCGAAGGATAATTGCCGGATTATATATTATAGTAAAG